AACGACTTCTTATCCAAATATACTCAGCGAGAGACAAATTGGGTTAGTATTGAGTTGGTATGCGAGTCTGTGCCGTTTCTAGATCTGGTATAATCTTCTGTAAGTCCTTCATGTATGTCATAGAGAGTCTTGGGAAGTTTTGGAAAGTCTTTTATCGATCTTCGTCGTATATTTATACTCTAATTGAGTTGGTTTTGGAATATCTTAGCTTATCTAAAGTAGCAAGGAATAAATATCTACATTATCTGTACTTACTTGTCTAAAAGTAGAGATATCTCGAGAGCCTCATAGAAGATGTGTGGGATGGCACGGACACCATACTTGACCCAATAGTTCTTCGCTCTTGGAACGGCAGATGAAGAATAAAGATGCGCTAACTTGTGCTTATCTCCTCTGAAACATACTGCAACGCAAATAACTCAGTACCAACACTAATACCAATACTAATACTAATACTAATGCCAACCCAATACCTACTCGATCTTTGCACCTTAAATCACTATTGGGTTAGTATGATATTGGATTAGTATGATGATCGTAGATCAGGTTTGAAGAAAGTATAAATGTAAGCTTTGAGGAGAGGTGGACAGGATGAAGTTCTCTTTTGGAATGTTAGGAGTTGGTCTGGCTTGGTTGCTGGGTTGGAGTAGTGATATAACTAGTGGTCAAATGACTGGTGCTGATGATGATAATAACACTAAGATAAACTGGAAAGACCATTGTGTTAAATCTGATAATGGTTGGCAGATAACTGGTGTGGCAATTGACTATGATGCTAATCCAGAGTGTTCAGAGATGAAATTTAAGGAGGGGGATGTACTTGAGGTGGAAGAACCATCAGATTATTATGTAACTAAGTGGAAGGTATTGTTAAAACTTGGGTTGTTAAGTGATTATGATACAAAGCGTATTGCTACAATGATGAACAACTGCCGCCGAATTCATAGTCTGGATGCTAAGACTTGTCCTAATGATCTTGAGAAAGACTCTCTATTGTATGCAATAGAGAGTGCCATATATGACATTGAAAAGGGACAGACCGCGTGTCAAGGCTATATTGAAATGCTTGAAAAGCTAACAAAGAGTGCTGCAGGAAAGGACGCTCTCCCTTCACTTGGATCATTGGACTCGAGTAAGTATGAAGGCCTTCACAAGGAAGTTAGAGATCTTATACAGACTTATAGTCCTTTCTATATTTTCTACCTTCCCGTCGTGATACTTGGTTTGGCTAATGATAGTAACAAACACACGTTTGAAGCTTGGAAGACGCTTATCAACAACTCAACTGTATCCAACATAGACCTTTGTGGTCAGAAACAGCTCAGACACGTCTTGTACGATACACTACGTATGCAGGTGATGCTCTCTAACCTTTCAAACCTTTCTAATACACCTCTAAGTGCTTATCCTAATATCACAATCAGCAATGACGACCAGAAGCACATAGACGACATTTTGAACCTAAACATTGCTGATCTGATAAAAAACATGCCAGCAGATGAAGCTGCCGAGAAGGTGCGAGAAAAACTATCGCATAGTATTGGGTTACAAGTGAAGTATGATTCGTTTTTTAAGCAACCTGATTATATAAAGCGATTGACTGGTGAATTTGAAAGGGCATACGGCAATAATATGGACCAAGTTCCAATTGAAACTATCAAGCAACATATCAATGATTTGAAGGAAGTTTCAAAATGGTTTAAGCCTCTACTAGATAAGACCAAAAAACTACAAGCTCAGTTTAATGCGCAGTTAACAAATACCACAACTGCCTCTAGTATTCATGAGTGTGTAGAATACCTAACCACTAATGCTACTATTGTTACTGACGATACTACTACTACTGATACTGATACTCTTGCTGATGATACCCACACTACTAGTCCTACCACACCGCATAATACCATGTCATCGTCTGCATCCTCTCTCAAGTCCAGTTGGATGCCCAATTCTCCTATTCTTCACATACTTATAAGCAGTCTGTTCTGGGCCCGTCTCGCCCATTTACTCGAACTGTCTCACTGATAGCTTGTTTACTCTACTCACCTCAATTCTACCTTAACTTAAGTAATAAAGCTTATTGCCATTGCACAACTCTTATTAGCTTAGTATAGCACTGTATATTTTATGCCAGACAACACGTAGAGTTCTGATAAGTAAAACAACTCAATAAGAATCTAAACCAAATACTTAACTGTAATATTCAGAGTATCCACCACCATTCTTTGCTTATATTGGGTTGGATTAGTATTGGGTTAGCTGCATTGCAGTATGTTTCACAGGAGATAAGCACAAGCCAACATATCTTTATTCTTCATCTGCAGTTCCAGGAACAAGAGGTCAATCAAATTGAGTTAGAGATTGGTAGAGTACAACTCCAAACTATAAATACAGGATGTATTTGGCTTAAGAAGTTACCAACTCAATACTAACACACTATTCAATAAATCCTATGAGCGTCCGGTTTGATTATGTCTTAGTTTAGTATTGGTTGAAAACAGCGTGTAGCCACTTGCCAACACGACAGTATCTTATCTCCTATTTTGATAAAAACGTTCTTGTGAAATCAAGTCGTGTATTGATAGAGTTGAGTTGAGTTTGTATTCTGTTGTCCCAGACACCACACTACCCTAGACGTACTCCTTTGTGACATTTCAACTTCACCAAACCAACCTACCCAACTACTATCTATTTGTTGAGTTACACCTGAATATGCTCTTCTCTTAACTTCTTATCACTTTTGCTCTAATTAACCCAATTTGTATGCAGTTGGTATTAGTATATGTACTTTTTATAAAGCTTACTCTTTCTAAATGAATTTGGGTTGAGTTGAGATTTAGTTTACTTTAAGTTGTTAGAAATAAGTAGCTATTTATTGATTTAAGTATGACTTGTGATACTTACTGGCATACACCAATTAAGTATTGGAGTGGTATCTGGTTAAGTCATAAGCCACTGATAAAATAAGGCTTGAGTAAGATATGAGTAAGATATGAGTAAGGCCTGAATCTACCTAACCCAACGGATAACAAACTTATCTTTATTGAAAGTCTGGAGATAAGCAGTTAAATAGAAGTGCATGGGATTGGGATGGAGTTTGTATTAGATTGATACGGTGGTGTGGAGAGGAGTTGGTGCAAGGCAGACTTGTGAATGCTGCAGAGTAGTTAAGTTAGGTCTTCTTGGAAACCTTCGTGGTGCTTGGGATTTCTGATTACCTGAATAAATTTCTAGAAGGTTCGGTTGCTACAAAGTCTTTGATCGAGTTAGTAGTGGCTAAGAGGGACTTTTCTTCCATGGGCATGACACTAACTTAATAGAGTATGTCTTGACTGGTGAGTCATATCCAACTCATGGATATTGCAATACTAGAATGTCATCGGTCAACTTTGTTTCAGTATTTAAGAGCTTGTCATCCTTATCAGAAGAATTGGGTTGAAGATATTTAGCAAGGTTTGTAACACGAACCCCCAGGCAATTGATAGGTTCTTGGCCTTGATCTCGAGGCTCTGTGTCGATGCATAGAGAAGCACAAGACGGGAAATCTTTGCCTTTCGTGGTTCTCTCTCCTAAATTAATAGTAATGCTCGCTTGGTAGTCTATGTATAATATGAGGGTGAATCGGTCTATCCAGTTGACATCGTTAAGAAAATCTATCTTGTCCAGTTGGGGGCTAGATATCTCTAGATAGGATATTGGTAAATGGGTTGCTAATGGCCAAATGAATTTCTGCATATCTGATGTGGGCTCAGTAATACTCATGCGGATAATGTATCGCGATTCTTCGATTTGGTTTCGGAACTGGCTCTGCAAATCAACATTGTTGAATGATGACTCCAAAGAAGGGCAAGTTATATACTCCAAATTGATAAGAATCTCAAGAGGTGCCTTCGTAGCACTTAACTCTGAGTTTTCGAACAGTGCTAGTATTGGGTTAGGATTAATAAACCAGCAGGGCCGCAAGGATTCGATATCTCAACCTCTTCCCGATTGATTGTGATTTTACTGAACTTCTTTAAGACATCTAATAGCTTCATCAGTTCACATTCTTCCCAATCAAGTTTCAGGGAAAGCGTATCTTTAGCTTGCAACGCAGTGCTAGACAGTTCATACTCTCGGGGATGATTAGCTTCGTTGATATCAAACATTCTCCAAACAGGAGTGGATTTGAATCCATAGTTGCTTCTGCTACTTATAAACTTCTGGAGGAGCTTTTCTTCCTTTGGGTCTAACTTAAATGTACAATCATTTTGATCCAACTCGGATAGTTGAATTATATCGTCATCAGAAGACGATGTAGAATCTTGATAAACAGATTCACTAGTGAGTGAAGTTTACCGTCCATGCCTGATTCGTTAGTTTGGGTTGGTATTGATTGAGTTCTTGAATTATAGGGTTCTGGATCAGTGGGCTCCTGTTCACTTACACTTTCACTTTTGACTTCCATGTTTTTAGATCTCCCATCAAGCCAAACTAACGATTTTCTGATTATCATAGATATGTTGTCGAGGCTTTTGAGTTCATCATTTTTCAATAAACTATATATCTCTGAATCCAGAATTTCAGTTAGTTCGACACATGCTGATATATCAATCTTAGGTACCATTTTCATTAGTTCTTTTACCATTCTCGCTTTGAACCGGGTTTTTAATGCATTAGGATAGTAGTAGGTGCCTTTCTTGATTAGAGCACTTTCAACTATGCTTCTTTCTGAATCGGGGGATTGTGTTTGTAGGTCCGTTGGGTTATCCTTAATTTTGTTTAGTTGTTTTACTTGATTAGCTAGCTTACCTATGTTCGTTATTCGCGATTCCTTTTGCACCTGGCCATCCCTGCATTCAGATAACCATTCATTTAGTTTCCGGATAATTACAGCGATGCTTGTATGTATTACTTCTTCTCTGACTAGTTGAGATATCAAATAAACCTCCTCCTGCCTGAGTCTCTCTATTGATTTGTCAGAGAAGCTGCAATCACTTTGGGTTGAGTTCATGTTCTCAGAAGCTTCTTGTTTTTCTTCCTCGAGGTTCTGTTGGCACTGCTTTATTCGATATATTTGCTTTGTTTGATTCCTCCTTAAGATCCCCAGCTCTTTTATTGCATTGGTTATCGCAGCATAAACCGATTCTACTTGACTATCTATATCTAACATGATCCTTTTAGATATATCAGCCAACCCCATCTCATCTGAATTCCTAACAGCACTACACCAGACACAACACAATCCAATAACCAAGCAAACTACTTGATAAACATTCAAAGAGTATTCATTTAACCTTTTGTTCATTTTACAAGTTGCTATCTCACATTTTATTTATAGACTATACTATATCAATATCAAAGATCTTCTAGTCTTAGCCAAGCAAATTCTCTAAATTAGTAGAATATCAACAAGACTTACTTTCTAAGTATGTCTATTCAATACCAAACCAATACGACCACTACTTAGCTCCCAACAATACTAACCTGATGTTTTGCCAGCTAATTACGCCTATTGGATAGTACTTTGCTTCCCTTCTCCTTCCCCTTTCCACTCCATCTTATCCAACACCTTATCCACCACCCTATCCACCAATCTATCTATCACATCATTTGTCAAACTTTCTGCCACTCTATCTACTATTCCATCCACCCCTCTATCCACCAATCTATCTATCATATCATCTGTCGGACTTTCTGCCACTTTATCTATTGTTTTATCGACTATTATATCTACTATATCTCCCCCTGCCGGCCTTCTTCGCTCTGGGTTGCTACACCAATATCCCTGCCCGCCAAATACTATTATCGCACAGATCACAATGAAAACAAAGCGCCGTTGCTTTAATCCCTGCAGAGCACATTTTGAAGATATGAACATACAAATTTGTTATCTTAAAGTTTTACTTTTATACTCCTATCAATGTGATTTTTATCAAGCCAATCCCATCCCATTTCAGTCAAACACTAACCCAATACTAACCTTCTTGATAGTAAAGTTCTTCTTAATACTCCCCCCGCGTCAAGTAGCGAGCCAATCGGGGCAGGATATGGTTTCTCATGTGGTAATAGCCCACATTTCACAACCCCAATCCAAATTTATATTTCCTAATGCCTATCTCGCAGCCCTACTAACTTCATTATCAGCCTACTCGCTAATTTACTTCTCCCCTTCACTTCCTAACTTGCATCCACCATCTCAACTTAGCCCATTTGCTGACTCTTCTTTATAGCCCTTTTTCATACCACTACTTAAGTTTAGTTTAGTTTAGTTGAGTTACCAGAACTGGAATATACCACTCTATCTCCGCACCTAAAACCCACTAACAACACTCTCTTCTTCTCTCATAACCCAACACAATACTAACCCAACACAATACTGCTAATTTCGCAATTTTAACAACTTTTTATTTTAACAACTTTGATTTGTTTGATTGAACCCCTGCAAGCTTTACTTACAAGATTTC